TGTGTGTGTGTGTGTGTGTAACTGGGAATTGAACTCAGATCCTAGTTGTTTGCCAGGGAAGCACTTATTCTACTGAGCCATCTCCCCGGCCCCCTCCTTATGTGATTTATCATGTTTTTCCAAAGTATTTGCCATCTAGCATCTTTTCCTGGTTACTATTACCTCTCAAATAAAATGTAATTTGTACTTCGTGGGCCCACCAATGCTGTTGGTCTTCCTGGATTCCAACTACATACAATTTTTTCTAAATCGTGTGTTTCACAATTCAGTTTTTGAGGAACATCAGGTGGATCTAAAGAAAATACAATGTAGTTACAAATGATTAAATGTTTATCCTGTTAGCATAATATTTTATAAACTGGTAATAACATTTTGTATAATTGTCTTAAAATATAAATCATTTACTAACCATATTTCACTTTTGAATAATATAGAAATTATTCTTTAATAGCGTGCTCTGTCCAAGTTCTTAACATATTAGATGGTGTAATAAAATATATTAAAAAGTGACTCTTCACTTCAAAAAGGCCAAATAGCAACTTAAGAAACCAAATACTACTTTTTCCTTTGCTCCTATGTAAGAATTTACCAAATCGCTCAAATAAATCCTTTTAACACAGCAAGTAAAAACAGGTTCAGCTTTATCATCTATATATTCTGATTTGTAAACAAGTAACAAATATACTAAAAGTCAACATGCTACTCCTGTGGTTTAGATGTAGTCTAGGATGTTTGGAAGGTGACTGGATGATGGGGCACTACACTTACAAATAGATTAGCCCACTAATGAGTTCACAGCTCACTGATTAGGGAGTTGGCCAAAGACGCAGGTCCCTGGGATGTGACCCGGAAGGACATGTTTCCTGCATGGTCCTTTTCACTCTCCTTCATGGGCCCATAGCCTAAGCAGCTTTTCTTCACTGGGCCCTTGGTCTGCGCTTCCTGACCACCATGATGTGAGTAGATTTCTTCCAGCAGGCCATTTCCATATATGATCCTGCTAATTACAGACTGGAACTGAACCAAATTAAGGCTCTCCTCCTTTAAATTGGGAATGTCACAAAAAAAGTAAGATAGATTTTGGTACTAATTTGTCAAGTATAATTATGATAACCACCCCACTCTTAGTGTAGAAAGGTCTGTAGACACTGGCTAGAGAAATCCTACAATGCTGTGATTCAAGCTTGATGTGAAATTCTGATCAGAGCTCAGAGGACCAGAATGCTGATAGAAATGTGCATCGTGAAGACCAGGCATAGGAGGTTTCAGTTGGGAACAAGAGACCTTGTGGGTTATGCTCTAGCAGAACATTTGTCCACGTTGTGCCCATTTTCTGAGGTTTTTCAGGAGACAGAGTGTAGGAGCACCAGACTAATCTGTTGGAGGAAATTTCAAAGCAGCCCAATGTTCAGGCTGTGGAATGGTTACTGCTGGTAGCTTTCATTTTAGAGTGAAAAAGAGGAGCAAAAAGTCCATTTTAAATGTTTTCAGAAAGAAAGACCCTGCAAAGTTGGAGCAAATGAGAACATGGTTGCTAAAAAGATCTGCATTAAAAAGAATCCAAGTACATTCATCAACACAAGGCACCTCAGAATTAACAAGATGCCGCAGGCTCCAAAGTTCAAAAGTCACAGACTTCACTTTGAAAAATGAATCCCAGAGAATGCAGCTCATTCAGGGAAAATTAAAGAATTTCACAGAGTTCAGTCATCTAAACAAGCACTCAGAGGTTGCTGCACCACGAGCAAGGGGGCTTGGCTACTGCCGAACTGCAGGTAGACTTTGGCATTATCTAGATGGTGCATGTTTATGGGCAGGCACAGTGCAAGAGCTGAAGCAATCCAAGAGACTTCAACATAAATTTCAAAAGAAGGCCTAGGAAATCTGCCAGTGTATCCCGAGAGGGCACTGTGTGAACCTATGACAGTGAGCTCAGAGTGCAGTAGAGACCCCAGGTGGTTGGAGAAGACAGGAATATAGAATATCTGCTGTGACAAGTTACAGAGGGGGAGCAAAGCTAGCCCCAAAGAGAACATGAGAGCTGCACCCAGCAATGCTGTGAGGGGGGGCTGCCCAAGCTCTTTAGAGCTCACATATCACCACAACTTGCCCTGGGTGCTAGACACAGTACTGCAGGAATTAATATTTCTCCAGCTGGGTGTTGGCCTTTCAAAGCGATAGGATCACGGGAGCACTGCTATCTGTGCTTAGGACTCTGATGAGTTCTAACTTGCTGTCAGAACATGAGGGCTGGCTGGATGTGGTCACAAAGGGCATGACTGGAAGCATACACCTCCCTCCCCGGCTCCTTCCTTCTCCCTCTGCTCCTGGACACCATGGTGTGAGCAAGTTTCCTCCATGGCAGCCTCTCCCACCATGCCATTTCTGCTTTAGAGCCTACAATCCATGGACTAAAATTCCTGAAACTGTGAGCAAAAGTAAACCTCTCTTCCTTTAGTTGGGGGAATTGGGTACTGTGTCTCAACGATGGGAAAAAGTGACTAAGCCAGCTGCAAAACAGTTCCCTCTGGCTTTGCTGCAGCAGAGTAGAAAAAGAAAAAAACAAGGGGGGGGTGCAGTACTTTTGTAAAAACTTTAAATGAAAATACTGCAGTCTGACATTACATATTATTGAAACAGTCATTTTTATAACCATGTTTAAACAGAAACAGAAACTGGTACTTCCTACAATTATATTCATCTAAACTATCTTTCATGTTCCATTAAAGTAGTCTTAACAAAAGTTACCTGTTAAAATATTCTGTAACGTAACTTCTAAAGATACAATTTTTTAAACAGTCCTTCATTTACCAACTAAAACTTAGAAAATTTTACATGCCCAATCCAGAAATAAGAATGACATCTTTTTTGTAACTTTTTATGTAGTATTAAGATTACATAACTAATAATGGCTGATAATGGATGAGTCAAAGTTTAGTAATTAATTAGCACATGTAGTTTGGAAACTTTTTAATCTAAGATCAAATTTTCAACAACCTATTAAAATCACATCCGGGGCTGGGGAGATGGCTCAGTAGAATAAGCGCTTGCCTGACAAGCACAAGGGCCTGAGTTCAATCTCCAGTTCCACCAAAAAGAAAAAAAAAAAAAAAAAAAAAATCACATCCAAAACTATTTGGGATTTATTCAACATGCTAAGTATTTTAGGATTTGGCAAATACATGAAACTGAGATATTTACAATCTAAGTAACAGGAACACAGGTGCAGGGGTTCGATCCCCGGGCCTGCCATGCCAGCCCTGGGGGCGTGCTGAGATGGCAACTGAGACTGGGCATGGTGGCATGCACCTGTAATCCCAGCTCTTAGGAGGCTGTAAACAGGCAGATCACTACAAGTCTGATCTAAAAGTGAGATCCTGAACACCCTGTAGACCCTTCCCTAAAAAATACAAAAAAAAAAAAAAAACCTCCCCAAGTAAAAGGAAAAACCTAAAAAGAACTAGAGGGATAGAGAAAATATGAAACAACAGTATCTGAAATATACTGATAGTCTTTTCAAAGAAATTATCTTCCAAAAGATTCAACTAACATTAGGTAAAAGCTATGTATACAAGGTGTGATAAAAATATCTGATGAATGTTTAACAATAAATTTTATTATAGTAAGACACACTGCTACGAATCCCCTTGAATCTACTACCCAGTGCTTCACACACACTCATCCCATTGTTCTTGGTACTCTCTGAAATAGTTTTGGAAGTTCTCCTTTGTGACTATCTTTATAAAATGTAATAAAAATACAGTGGATGCTCTACCAAATGCCATCCAATTGAAAGGCAGGCTTGTGAAAACATTATGGGGTTTCCTCATCCATCTCACTCAGTGATCTGTCACCACATGACTTCTGGCTCTTCCTCAAAGTCAAATGGTCATGAAAGGCAAACATTTCAAACTGATTCTGGGCTCTGGTACAGGCATGACACCATCACTAGACATGTTCCTGAAAGATGATTTACACAACTGCTTCACAAAATGGCATGATGGGTAAGTGTGCTGGAAGGGGGGGATTGATGGTAATATGACTTTTAATTTTATGTTTAAATATTCACCACATTTTTCAACTGTACCATATAAATCAAGTATACTTTGATAAATAGAAAATGCAATTAAAGTAATATTTCTAATAGCCTCAGAAAACATGAAGCACCTAGGAATAAATTTACCCGAGATATACAAGACTTCAGATCACAATGATAATAAATGGAAGGATGTACCATATTCATAGCTTGAAAGACTCAGCCTTATAAGAATGAACATTTTCCTAAATTGGTAATTGATTTAAGTTTGATAAAAATTCAACAGGTTTACACAGCATATGTGTGTTTAAGTGAAAAATCACATGCTGATTCTGAAATTCTTTTTAATAAATTATGGATTAAAGGGATATTCATAAAGAAAAGAAAGTAACTGTAGCACTAGCCCTAATTCGCTTTAAAACCTGCTCTAATGTCTAAAGAACTTCCTCTGTTGGTATAGGGACCTGTGACCACTGTTCTAAGTTGGCAAATGCCAAAAACAGATTTTAAACTTCAAATGTAATAAATGAAGTTCAAGTTACAAATTTAAAAGGCATATTCTAGGACTATAATAGAAATGGAGTCAGTACATAATTTCAGCTTTAAAATATTAACGTCCTTTCACACTTTTAAGTGGATAGCTCATTTTTTAGTATTATTTATCAAGTAACTTTACTACATATACCACTGGTTCTCATCCTAAATGTCTGACTTTTGGTACAGAACTTTGTAAATAGTCTTCAAAACACACTAGTAGGATGACAAAAGTCAGTAACTTTATAGCCATCAAGTTGAGAAGTACACCTAATCCTGGCTGTTCACGGAACTTCATCAGCATCTCAATGAGATCCAGCACAAGAATCATAAAAGAGTAAAACAAAAAGTCAATAGGCAATCTAAAGAAATCTCACAAAGTTCGCTCAATCTATTTCACTTACCTTTATTCATGAGACCCTCAGAACAAACTCAGAGCCTTTTATAAAGAATACAGCCAAGAAAGATCAGTGAGAGAGGCCAAGCCAAGGTGGAGGAGGGCACAAAAACTACCAACAAAGCTAAAAACTCTAAACATACTTATGCCTGGGCATTCAACACAAGCCACAATAGGCAGGGCAGCTCACCACCACAGGTTAGGAAAGTATTTAGACTGTAGGAGTCTAATAAATGTGTCCACAATAATAAAGCACTTGCTATGTACAGAACACAGTGAGAGAAAATGGATTCTTGCCTGTGTCCTCCAGTCTTCCCGTTCTCCTCAAATATGTTAGACGAAAGTTAAAGACATATTATGCTACTGAAAGATTTTGTTTGCAATCATTACAATTTAAGTATTTAAAAACAGGTATACTTTAGGTAGGAAACTGATTTATATGAAATAATCCCCAAACAATATAGGATTAAGAAATACTATACACCAATGATTTTTGAATTAAAACCATTAATTGAGAACTTAAACATGAGCAGTTACCTATTTCAGATCTTACTTTAAAAGTTACAAGTTATACAGATACAACTAAGTAGAAAACAAGCTGAGGATTCATTTTAATACATGCGAGGATTCTGGGTTCTTTATGTATCATTTATACTAAAGAACAAAGAAATAACAGAATAATTCTGCAGGAAAAGAACCTAGTATGAAAGAGACGACATCAGGCTAATAGCAGCTCTCTTGTTGGAATTATATACTTACAGCCTGCAAAAATAACTGTTCCATATATGGACTCTTCTGTTGTGAAAATCACATTTGTTCCACTATCTTCAGAAACGGAAATATTATGGATCTTGATAGCAACGTTTTCTCCATCAAGGTGGATAAGGGGGCAATTTTTACTGCCAATCTGTGCCACTAACACTTTTTCTTGACTTAAACAACAAAATGTTATATCTGAGCCTACAAGTATTACGTTGTCTTGAGGAAAAACTTTGGTCTGAGAATCAGGAGTCCCTACAAAGAACAAAAAGAATTATAAATATTTGAGAAGTGTTTTATATAAAATAGTCTCCAAAATGAGCCTTTTTTTTTTTTCCCCAAGATGACTTGTAAAACGGTCCACTATATACAAAATAAACTATATGGTGTTTTGAGACAACGCAGCCAAATATGAGGTATGTCCCTCCTGTTGCAAAGAAGTAAAGTACACATAAGAAGTAAGGTAAATCCATGTATAATTTGCTTCCTGAAAAGGGTAATGTTGGGGAGAGAAAGATCTAAGGTCACAGGGTAATGCTTAGTAAGTCTACACATTCAAATTCAGTGGGTTTAAATACAAATGAGACAAATGCACATCAAGAGAAGCTGTGGTGAGAGGACTGCAAGTTTGAGTCTAACCTGGGCAATTAACTGCGGCCTTGTCTCAAAAAATCCTCACCCCTGCAGAGCTGATCCATACCAGTGCCCCCCCACAGCCACACACACTGAATAGGATTTTTAATGACCTCTGTTCTTGCCATCTCCCACCCACCTCTTCACTGTGGTCCGGCTTCCACCCATGCCATGTTACCAAACCAATCCAGTGGTCCCTTCGCAGTCGCCATTCCTTTGCTTTCTACCGAACCTTGGATGCTATTTAAAGTCTTTCTCCTTAGAACCCACTCTTTTTGTAACACTAGACACTCCTGGGCTGCTAGTCCTCTGACTACTGGCCTTACCTCTAAACTTCCATTTCCAATGTTGTTTGGCCCTGCTATATAAACTCTTCAGTGCCTGAAGCCCAATGATTAAAAACAAACATTTTCTCCCCATGTAACTTGTTCATACTTTTTTTATTTTAATCTCAAGAGCACTAACCATTCAACTGCCCACACTAACAGGCACATGTGGCTCCATTTCTCACCACTGGCATTTTCACATCTTCCCTCCCTTTTATTTCTAAACCCCAGTATCCTAGCTTATATTTCCACTGACTTGCTCAACAGACACAGATCTTTATTTACCTCTGTGCCTCCAGCTCTCCTTGCTTTGATCACTTCTGCACATTGTCGCTAGAGCGAGCTACCTCCAGCAACTTCCAGTGTTTGCAGGACATTTTATTGGCAATGTTCTTAGTCCTCCTCTACCCTGGCAGCATTCTGCCTGGATATAAGTTTTGCTTAATGGACAGATGATTTTCTTGGTATTTTATAGACTCCCACATTTTCTACAACAACTATGCTCCTCCTAGTGTTGTCTGCTCTGTGTTTCACAGGTTGGGAATTATTATCTTAAAAATATATCCATTGGATCTCATTTCCAACAATGCATCTTTAAATCATTCTTCAGTGCTTATTATAATGGTTTTCATACTAGGATGTTTATTTGGCCACTTAGGACATCTTAAAAACACAGACTCCTGAAGTCCATCTTGGACTTCTTTAAAATCTCTTGGGAGGCAGACTTGGAAGCTCCTATATGACCCTCATACAGCTCCTGAGATTTCAGAGAACAAAGAATGTACACTGAACACTGCTTTTCAGCACTCCAGTTCATTTGAAACAAAAACTCTTTAAATACAGCTTACAAGAAATGCTCTTCACTGGGCTCCAGTTGCTCCACTCTTTCGGACCAGAGAAATGAGGAGAGTCAATGTAGCACCTAATGCTCACATGATGAGCGGCACACTCCAAGGGCATGTCTGAGGCCCAGCTCCAGCGATGGACCACATCTCTGCCATTCAGAGTGGTGTTGTAAGTCACCTAAAATCAAGCCCAGGTAGTGATAAGATTTTCTTGCTCTTAAGATCAGAAAACCACAAAATACCATATCACCAAATTATTATAAATATCTCTCAGGCTTTCACAGAGAGCAAAGTGCTCAAGTAATGGCCATGACTCATCCAGATGGCTGACACTTAAAAAAGATCTACAAACTGCAGTACAGGGTTTCAGGGTAAATCCTGAGGGGATCTGACTGACCTTGTCAGATACAAAAGTTACATTTCTTGTTATATAGGTCTTGCTTTATCTTGGTCTTAACCATCCAGTAGAAAAGTATAAAAAGTAAAGCCATATTAATATGATGAGCTGTAAAAGGCTCAAGTCAAAAACTTCTGACACTACCAGTCCTACGGACAACCCACTACTATTATGGACTACTGGACTATATTGGATTATCTTGCTGAATTCAAGCATCTACAATATTTAAATGGCAATGGAATACCCATCTCTGACAAAACTAAACAAAAAAAGAGGACATAAATGAAGGACCATTTTGTATCTGTATATACAAAATAGTTAGGATAGATATACAGCTACTTTCTCTTAATTCAATAAGAAGAAAGATTTGTACTAATGGTGTTTGGACAGGATATCATGTCTGCATCTTGTACTAGGAATAACTACTACAAAGACAACAATATGCAATGTATTAATTATTGTGACTATCTTACTAACCTGTTTTGAAACTGTCTCATTGCTATTTGTTTCTCAATAAAATTAATAAAAGAAAACCAAATTGTTATAAATAAATGGTCTGTCCTTTGGTAAAACTATCTTAAATTTTTTTTTTGGGGGGGGGTACTGGAGAATGAACTCAGGTCCTTGTACTTGCCAGGAAGGCACTTACATGACTCTGAGCTACCTTTCTAGCCCTACCTAAGATTTTTTTTTAATAAGGCACATCAGAAAAGTTAGAGCAACAATCGTCACACAACTATGTTCACTTCATAAGCAACAAGCCCTACTGCATTGTCATCCAGGACATTGATATTCTTTTTTCTATTTTGGTACCAGGAATCGATCTTAGGACCTTGGGCTTGCCAGGCACACGCTGCGCCACTGAGCTACATCCATGGCCCCAGGATGTTGATATTCACGAAAATATCTAATACAGCACCTAAGATACTGCCTACAAGATTTTTATGTTTTCCTAGAGGAAAAATAGTTAATGGGTTTATATCTCTAAAGGCAAAGAGGGGCAGCTTTTCAACAAAATAGTTTTAGATTGATGTCATTATCACCTATATAACAGCTTTAATACATGTATCCTACATTTTAAATTTTCATTTAAAAGAAAATATCTTAGTTTTAATAGTTAATTAACATGCAGCTTACAGTAGTATAGGATATTAATCTCAATTGTAAGAAATGGGCAAGATTACAAATTTTGAAGATCTACTAACTGATACTTTGTAAGTTTCAATTGAAAGACAATATATTAAAGAAATGTATTTTTTTCTGTCCTACTCTAAGATTCTTCTAAAACAAGAGTAAACAGATTCTTATTAAAGGCATAGAAGCGTAAGGACAAACAATAAGACATGTAGCAACATCACTAAAATTTCAGAAGCTGGAAAGTAGATGGATACTAGCAATGACTCAGGAATCCTAAGAAAGCAGAACCTTATATTTTCACTGGGAAAGCCAGGAAAATACTTGGTTTGTATTACAGAACGACCAGAGCCCGGGGGATGGCCGCATCACCCTGGAAATGCTGGTCTTAAAGCAAGGAGACGGCATGAATGTCTGCAAAGACACATTAGACCCCTGCTCACCTGGGCAGCAAAACAGTGACTGGTGTTCTGGGAGAAGCAAGCAGAGGCCTTCTGGACTGAAGGTCTCAGGAGGAGCTGCACAAGGGGATGCCACACCAGAACACATGGCTAACCTGGCCCTCCTTTCCACTCTCAGCTCTCCCAACAGTGGTAACCACACTCAGCAAGTGTGTCTTTGGGGAATAGGAATAGGCTAAGGTAATTACCTACAATAAGATCAGAAGTTTGCCAACTAGGTAGCCCACCCTAATTATCCAACAATGAAATCCCCAGTCAACAAGTCCCCTTAAAGCAAACTATAATTTTGATGAGACTTCAGGACCCTCTCATTTAAATGTAAGTAGCAACCAAGATGACCAAATGTTTTGAAGCAATCTAAAGGTCAAAAGCCAAAATAAAGAGAAAATATAACAAAGAAATATGGTAGGCAGAAAGAAAAACAATTAAATCATTGATATCCTCATACTTAAGATAGTCTACTCATGAAACAAGAACTGAGTTTCTTTTTTAAAGTTATTTCTTAGAAATGAAAAGTGTATTAACAGAAAATAATAGGACATGATGAAGTTTAGGACAAGTTTCTCAAAATCAAGGCAAAAGACAGAAAACAGGAAAGATAAGATAATGAGAAGACCAGTCTGGAAGATTCAACTCCTAAAGAACAAAAGTTCTAAGAAAAAAGGAGAAGATAAGAAGAAATGAAAGAAAGAAAAAAGTTTATAAGCTGACATATCAGACCAAAAAAGCCCTAGTGAGCTCCCAGTACAAGAGTGAACTTAGCCAGCCACAGCAAGAAACAATGGAACAATACTTTCAAAATTATGATAAAACTTTCCAACTTCTAATTTGATACCTGGCTAAGCTAGAAATCACATAGTAGTGCAGAATATTTTCAGAAATGTGATGTCTGAATATTTTCTTCTGGTAGTGTCTTACACTCCCAAAAGTAATGTATGTATATTCTATTTGTTCTGCATCTTCTAAAAAATAGCAGTTTGTAGGTATTTGATTTTTTGACAAATAAATCCTATCTGCAAGCTAGTATTACAGGCAGGAGAATGTATCTTCAATAACAAATAGCTATGAGAACATATGTTTCCACCAAAATTAAGAAATAAGAATATAATAATACATGCTATTAACCTACTAGGAGATTTAGGAAAAGGAGAGACCATCATAAGGAAAGGGCATGAGGGCGACCTCTGATGCCAATGGAGTCGCTTGCTCCAGTAACTCCCCAATGAACGAGGCAACAACACGGAAGTGTACCTTGAGTGGGTTGCAGGTGTGCGCACATACTAATTCCTTTCAGAATAAGGCTGCTTCTAAGAGCGGAGGCTGCTGGGATACCTGGGACACCTCTGACCATCAGCTGCTGTGGCTATTATCATGCTGTCTGCCATGTACATATCATCAGTGTGAGGAGGACTGGGAAACCAGTCAGAGGTCCTCACAGACATTTATGCATAAAGATAAACTGACAAAATACACAGCATATTAGAAAATTTCAAGACTTATACAACATGGAGACTATCTAAGAATGAGTTGAAGGAGTTTTTTTTTTTGTTTTGTTTTTCTTGTACCAGGAATTGAACCCAGGACCTCATACTTGCCAGGCATGTGCTGTGCCATTGAGCCAAATCCCAGCCCTTTAGGAATGAATTGATAAAGCAGAGAAAATTTTAAAAAAAGAAAGTCCAAGAAGTTCTTTGAAAAAGACAAAGTTGTAAATACTGTTTACATACCCCTAATGCAACAAATACTGTTTTACTATACACTGTAACTCAACTGCTAGAGGAACATAGGAAATTGGGAAGGCAGGAATGGCTGAGGGGGTTCCAGGAAGCACGGAGACTGCAAATGTGAGAGACCTGTGGGAGAGGACAAAGTTCTCCTCTTTCATTGTGTAAGTGAATTAAACACTACTTGAAATGAAACTACAAACCAAAAATCAAACAGCAACATATGCATGATATTTGCAAAAGTGGAAACAAATAATGAAAGATATCAGCTAAAAGAGACAAAATAGTTTTGTTTCCAGGGAAAGACAAATGGGAGTACCTGAGGGAGGAGGGTACTGGGGTCTGGTAAAGGATAACTTTGGAGTCCCCTGACCCCTCTGTGGGGCATGGCGTACACAACTATGAGCTATCCAGGGCCTTGAATATAATAGTAATGACCAAGATCCTTGGTTTTTTTAAGCTATTCCCAAATGACAGATTTTATTTTGTGGCAGATTATGATGCTACTGTTTTACAGTAGAAATTCTGACAATGATATAAATAACATTATAGTTTAAAAAGTCATTTTTTATTGTGAACCTGGAATAATTTCCCTCCTTTAGTCTTTTTTTTTCTTTTTTTCTGTATTTAGGACAGGGTCTACAAAGTCTATAGGGTTTCACTATGTAGATTGGATAATTACCTAATTCTCCTGTTTTCAGCCTCCCTAACACTGGGATTACAGATGTGCACCACCATGCCCAGTCTCAGTCACCAGCTCAGCATGCCCTAAGGGCAGGGCTGGCAAGGCACACCAGGGATTGAACTGTGGCTGCTGTGCTCTGCCTAAGCAGGTGCTTTAATCCACTGAGCTATCGGGCTGGCCTTAGTTGTTTTAATTGTTCTTTCTTTTCCTTTTTTTTTTCCTTCTTGCTCTTGCTATTTTTTTCTCATATAAGGATTTCTCCTCCAAACAGGAAAATTATGACTTTATGACTACCAACTTGGTACGTATCTTGTACCAATCAGTTATATGGTTTAGACTAATACTTCCTTTCATTTATTTTTTATTTTATTCACAGTTGAAAAAGTATCCCCTTTATTCTAGTATACATAAAACTTTTCTGATTAGTTATATCTTAGCTTAAAAGAAAATTAAATATGGAGCATAAGAAAATTATTCATAAGCACGATTAAAAACTTGAAAGCAAGGTCTACACATAAGAACATATTTCAGACTGAGAAACTAAAGCTTGCTTCTTACATTTGTGACAAATTACAATGCACTTATTTTGTACTAGAAAATCTGATTATTATGGCTAAATATGTTTTAAAATATTGACTCTTCACATAATATCAGACAAAAACAAAAAAATAGACTAAAAGTGCACTTCCAATTTAAGTAAACAGATGTATATTAAAAGACTAGAAAGAAGTACACAAAGGTAACATTTCCTGTGTTCAAGTGACAGAATCTGTGCCTCTGGAATTTCTTAAACTCCCTTTAGTGCTGACATGTGATTTCCGAATCAAAGCATATGGTTTTTAATAAACTTTGAGAGATACTTTACCTACTTTCTTAATAATGATATTCACTGATACCATCCTAAAATGGATTTTAAAATTGTTTGGTCTCTGTAATGTCATAGAAAAAAGATCAATTTTTGGTCAAACTTACTAACTCTACGAGCTCCATAGAATCTTTACGCATAACTTTGATTTCCCAGACGACGTGTGAGTGATGAGGAAGACCAGAACCCTTGTCGGTCCACTCTAGGTGTAATGTTGAAGTGGAGAAATCAGCAGACAAGTTCAAGATCTCTGGAGTGTCTGGAATTAAGGCTTAGGCAAAAGAAACAAAAGAGAAAATTTAGTAAAATAAGTAACGATGTTTCATACTGTACTCCCATTAGCAATGATTTTAAAACTACTTCTCTTGATCAAAACTAATCAAGAATTCATATCAAACTCTCAAACCTGTTACTGAAGAGGAAAGAACAAATATATTTTTATTTATATGAATAGCTTACAATGATCAATTAGGCAAATTAGCAAAATCCTCGGCTGGCTACTTCAAATTCATGAGAGTCTCTAATACAAACACTGACCACTTCCTGCAATGCTCCATGGTCACCTAGGTGGGAACCCACAGTTAGGCAACAAAACAACTGCTTCACGTGGCAGTAGATTAGACCTAAGAAAATGATGAAACGTGGAGAGCTCACTTGGGGAAAGGTATCTGTGTGCTTTTTCAGAGCTTTCCCACTCATCTCCCAAGTCTGGCCCCTTGTGGTAAAGGATGCTACTCACTTGAGGAATTTTATGTGCTATTCCTGGTAATGGATGTAATTAAAGAGAACAGTAAGTAACACTAGCTAAGACACTCAGTTCAGAAGCCGATGCGTCACTATGTGGAAGAACAGATAAGAGAAAAATGTCAGAAGGGCTAACTTAGTAGTGGTTTTCCACGCAGCCTGAAGAGGAGTGAGGAAGGAGCTAAGATTATCATTTAAGACCGCTGGAAAAATCCTATCTAGAATAATAATACCATGAAATATGATGCCAAATATGGGGGAAAGTAAAATCTTCTGTACAATTCAAAGAAACGATTAAATCAAATAAATGAAGTATTCACTGTAATAAATAATCATGATTTCTCCAAGGTTCCATCCAGCTCAGAAAGCAGCTAGAAAGGAAGGACTGAGAAGGCAGGGTGAAAGATGCGGAAGCTGCGCAGAAGGAAGGGCTCCAGGGCAGTGTCTGGAGATAGCTGTGAGAACCATCAGGGGTGAGAATCAGGGTGCAGACTCCGAATTTGCTGCATGCAGCTGAAGAAAGAAATGTGAATGTACAGACCTGAAATGGCCCAAGTTTGTTGTAAAGGCTGCCAATACACAATTAGACCCCCAAGGAACACACACACATGTGCGCACGCACACACACACACACACACACACACACACAGCAAGATCTAAAGTAGGAATGATTAAGAAACAGAATAAAACCAGAAAAAATCTAAAGTCACTGAGCTAAAAAGAAACAGGCTGTCACTTGGGCCAAATACAGTAAACCTCCAACTTATCAGCATTCAAGGTGCAATCTTTCATTGCAATATATTAAACTCACTCACTTGGCCACTTTCTGAATGAATCTGACTTAAAAACAGTTCTTGGGGAATGGAACTTGTCCCTAAGTTGGGAACTTACTGTATAACAAAGATGACAGAGGAGGACCAAGCAAAGGCCACCTACAAGAGTAAGGGCATTATTCCACCACACAGTTGCAAGAGAAGCTTGAGAGGGTTGAAAACTGTCTCAGTTGCTTCTCTCATTGCTGGGACAAATACCTAACACATAAAATTAGGGTAGGAACTAGACACAAATCTTAACATAAACTCTGAAGGAGTTAACATAAAACCAGAGGCAAACCATGCTCCAGAGTTTAGGCTTACATAGGAAAAGCCAGTACGCTAAAACGAGGTAAGCAAAAGAGGAATATATCCTTGAAAATCTCCTGATCTCTCTACCCATTAAGGAATACTAAATCACTGAAAAGTCTGGATCAATGGAAAACAAGATGAGTGTGCCACGCTCCATGACACACAGGCTCTCTGCTCTGAGGATGACAACCTTGGACTCCCCGGCACGTTTTCTCCTCAAAGGACAGTAAACCAAAAGAGAGAGACACACACTTTCTTACCACATTTCTACTTAATCCCCATCAAGTTCAAGAGCTAATTAAGGCCCTGACAAAGTGCAGGAGTAGGCTAAGATAGGGTCGCTCTACCACCACGCAGTGAAGACAACAGAAGAAAGCAGTATAAATTAATCAGTGCGAACTTGAAACTGAGCTCTTACAAATAATTTCACTAAAATTTTTCAAGTACAATGTTCTACCCTGAATCTGCATACAATGCTTTGGCTTGTACAGGACCTAGGACGTGCAGACTGAAATCTAAACTCTAAACCAAGTCGTTTACACAGCTAAACACAGGTAGTAGAAGCTGCCTCAAAGAAGTCTCAAGTGAGAAGCTGCTGGTGAAAGAAGAAAAGCGTGACAAATGAGAAGCAAGCAGCTGGGTTAGTGCCAGGGCAGGGGTAAGCTCAGCTGCCTGTGTAACCAGAAAAGTGCGAGAGGCTTCCAGGAGTGTGACTGTTCCTCCAACTGATTCAAGATGGCACAATGCACTAACCTAAAAATTATCAAACATGGGAATATTTAACTGATGCAACACTAATCCATTCAAATGGCCCCATCCACATAATTTACATTCTCATGTTTGAGTAGAACACAAGAGTCATGTTCAGTATTTTTAGAAAAAGACAGTAATACTCATGATGACAAATGAAAAGATTTTTATAATCCTCTAAAAAGAAACTTTTTCCTCATAGCAGACATGGAAGTCTCCCCTAAGTTCCCATGAACTGCATGTGTTTTTGCTCTGGGCTAAAACAAGACATCTGAGGACAATTTTAACTTGCTTTCTAGAAACTAAAAACTTTTTAGATAGGAAGGAATTTAATGAAAATCTTGCTTATTTTTTTTAAAAGTCAGGACAGCTGACTCATAACCTTCATGCTCTTGGTTCCTTAGAACATTAGGAGATGACTCTGTGTGTGTGTGTGTGTGTGTGCATGTGCACACATGTTTTGAGCCATATTACTTATCCTGCCTCATAATGATCTAAATTTTGTTATTTTAAAAAACTGAAACAAAATATGATGAAGACTTTTTGTATATGTGTGTGCTTTCCCTTGTTAAATATAAAGTTATAGGTATGTGTTTGTATATAAGGCCTTTGTGCTTTATCAGTCTACTTTTCACACCATCTTCAGACCTGGAAAACACATCATCTCTCACACTTGCACTTAGTAACCAATTATCCATGAGCCCACATCATCTGATGCACAGCTTTATGGCCTTATGACCATTTCAGAGTTTCCCCTGCATTCATAGGCAGTCAGAGATCTGCCGGTGAACTGTTATGATCTGAATGTCTTTGTGTGTGCTCTCCTGTACCCACTTCAAACTCCTATGTTGAAACTTAACCCCCAAGGGGATGGCCTTACAGAGTACAAATTAGGGGAGGTGACCGCACCATGAGGCCCACCCTCCCAAGCAGGACGTTGCCCTTACAGAAGAGGACTCAGGAGGCTTTCTTGCCCCGCTGCTACCTGAAGGTACCATCGATGAGGAAGAGGCCATCAGCAGGCACAAGTCTGCCACTGCCTCTTTCCTGGACTTTCCAGCCTCTAGATCCACAAGGTACATATTTCCGGAATGCATTTATTACCCAATCTAACTCATTTTGTTACAGAAGCCCAGAAAGATCAATATGCATCACCTCCCTGTCTTACATTCACCTAATCTGCCTTTAAACTGTCATGTTCCAGTACCATTATTGTAATCACCTCGGTCCCACCATTATTTAAAATGTTACTGTAAGTTGCATGACTATTTTCAAAAAATGAATTATGAATGAGTCTGTCTTTATTTGCTTTTCTAACTTTTTAACATTGTCATTGGCAAGCAACTTCCTAGTTGAGAACACTGCATACCTATTGAAATAATCAGACACCACACACTGATTCTCTTACATACTCTTGGGTATTCTAAAAGTCTAGAATAAAGTTCAGATTCCTCATACTTTACTACACAATAATTCCAGTGAAAGAAACATTTAAATCAAAATGACAGCAACCTAAAACCTCAAAAAGAGCATGATATTCTATATTACAATGAAAACATATAACATGAAAAATACCGTTTTAAAAAATAATGTACTCAGAAAATCATCTCTAGCAAATATGATAGTTAATAAACATAATATATATTAAAAGCTCTTGTGAATGAAAAAAATAAGGAATAACACAATTCAAAAAGGGCTGACCAAATAGCTCAATGGATTAAAGCGCCTACAAGCAGGCACAGGGGCCAGGGGTTCGATATTCGGGCCGGCCGTGCTAGCCCCACCCCCGGGGCGCACTGAGATGGCAATTGAGCCTGGGTGTGGTGGTGCGCGCCTGTAATCCCAGCTTTCAGGAGGCTGTAAACAGGAGGATCACTATGAGTCCGATTTAGTAGTGAGACCCTCAACACCCTGTAGCCACATCCATAAAATACAAAAACAAACAAAAAAAGATGAATTGCTATTTCAAACAAACTACAACTGACAATTTTTTAAAAAAATTGTAACAAATGAAAAAGCAGCACTGATATAATCTAGGAACCATTCAATGTAAGTGTAAAAATTAAAGGATGGATACTACCCAGTCCTCGTAATGATAGCTCACAAAATGTGAAAAGAAGCTCATCAACATGATGCTTGTGGGGACGCAAAGAAGTACAAAGACTTCAACCAATGCTTTGGTGACTGGATATAAGAAGCCCTGGTGGCCGCGGGGGAGTCCTTTAACATAGTGTTCTCAATTCTCAGAATTTAAGCAAAATTAAATCAACCAAATTCACAAATATATATGTGCAAAACATGTTCACTAAAGTGTTGATTATAATGCTGGTATGTTAGAAATAAAAACAAATAGCAAATAATAGAGTTCTTTAAATAATCGTGCTCTCTGTATATGATGGAATACTATCTAGTAACTAAATATAGCATAGAATTTATATAAGTTAACTTGAAAATCCATCTATCACGTTTTCTGTTAAGCAACCTGTAAAGGACTACGAACTTTTAGATTGTTTTCATGTGTACACGCACAGAAAATCTACTTAAGGCTTAACAGTATGAGTACTGGAGTGACGGTTAATCTTTATAAAATTTCTCACATGGACTTCAAAACTATTAAAACAAAAAAACAAACACAGTCCATATCTATTACTCTGAAAGACAGTCCTATGCAGCACTTTACATAGGCAGTACTTCAGGCTAAGAAAAAAAGGACATACTTACTCTCTTTAAAATCTGTGCTGTCTCACACACAGATCATTCCAAGTATATATACCTACTGCATTAAGTTGGGCAAATTACAGCACTAATCATATTTGTGTTCTCAGGAATTTCATCTGTTCAAGAGTCAGCTAATCATACAAGATTCATTACAGATACTGCTGTGCTGCCACACCAGAAGGGCTGTCAGTAGCTGACAAACCCACTGCCCACCATTAGCAGTCAAAACCTCTCAGGCTTTTAAAGTCTCACTGCATAGCAGAATTTCTGTCTGGGTCAACAGGACTTTATTCTGTGCTTCCAAGCTGCCTGTAGCCTATCTCCTAACTAAACATTCAATCAATAAATACATGCCCCCAGCACAACTGTGCTGGGGGCTCCACGAAGACAATGAAGTCCGTGCTCTCACGGAACCTGTTTCCTGGTGGAGGAGACAAGGTAAACACCTGGCTACACAGTGGATTATCAATTTAGCTGACAGCAATGCCAGGAAGGAGCACAGCTTACCTAAGAGTTTGAAAAGAAAGGAGTGGGATCATGAGTGCAGGCAGAGACTACATCCCAGAGCAAAGGGCAGCTGAGATCCTGGAGGAAGCCTAGGAGGCAAAGGCATAAAAGCAGCCACGGAAGAGCTGGAACAGAGGCAAGGTCCTTGAATTCTGCGTGTCCACTGTAACCGACTACAGGACAAATTCTTCCTTCTCCCTAAGGGCCATGCTCTCTACAGCACTGCAAAGCAGTTCTGAGAAGTACCAGCACAGGAAGTGAGATGCAAATACAGGTTTTTCCCAATTGCAAAGTATCAGACTAGGAACAATGCTCTATCTTAAAATCTGTTTTCTTTTGGGATACTTACAAACATTTTTTTCATTTAGTATGAATGTACTCAGAGAACTTTCAAAATCATGTAGAGAGTTTATTGTTATTTCATGATCACCAGGTGAAAGAGCTGGGATTTTAATATTTGCTTTCTCTATTTGATGACAAGAACGGAGCCTGTGATAAAAAGAAATAGAATTTTAATTAGAAATGGAATTTTAAAACAATCAATAGTTATTTTCATAAAAACTTTAACAACACAAAATATGTGGAAAATATTGTCTGCTTTTTTTCTACACAAAAACATGCAGGGTTATGTTGCATTTTAAACTGAAAAAAAAATAGTTAACAGTAATTGTATTAGTGTGGTAGTAGGAAAAATATGCAAGCTGTGGCAAAAAGCACAACGAATAAGCATCACTGATTCTTTCAAGAAATGTGGGGTCTGGCATGCCCTGCAAATGCTCTCCTTCCAGCCATCCACTTCCTCAGCCCCAAGCTGCAGACAGGGCCACCTGGAGTCTCAGATGAGTTGGAGCTCACTGGCAGTTGGTGAAAGGAATGAAACTGGCTGTAGAGGTCCTGTCAAACACACCTACAACCTGCTCACTCCTCTGCCCTGGCTTTTTTTTTTTTTTTTTTCCTGGCAGAACCAGGGATTGAACTCAGGCCCTGGCACTTGCCAGGCAAATGCTTATTCTACTGAGCCATCTCCCCAGCCCCAGCTTTAACAAAATTTGTCAGTTCTGCTTTCAAAAGGCTTCCAATTCCCTATTTAGTATCTCTTTGATGTCCTGGTTCTGCAGCCCTTTGGATCTCCTGAGAAAACAATATATGTTCTTTTATTGTTATTCTAATATATATAACTTCTCATGAATAATTCAACTAATGCAAAGGTATCTTCCTTCTATGTAGGGAACCCTCACCTACTACCTAGCACAGGCCTTTCCTCAGCACCCATTTCAACTAGAGACCTGATTCCTGGTCACTTCCTTCTTAGCCTCATGTGCTGAGGTGTTTTTAGGCCCCACAATCCCAGACCAGCCAAATTCTCCACATGACATCATTTCATCTGTTCAAGCCACCACACCTAATACTCATCCAGGGTGGAATGTCCTTTGGTTCCTTCTCTGCAGAGAACTGAGCACACCTCCTATCACCACAAGTCTTCTAACAGCTCCCCTAGACCTCCACACTGTTTGTTTCTGTTTCCTTACATTTCACATAAAGCTTCCAAGTGCATGTGACCCACGGGTTTGCTACTTTTCACTGTGAACTCCTGGGAACAGAACTAAGTTACTCACTTAAGGTGACCTGAAGCTGGCATTCATACTATCTGTCAAATCTTTGGGGGAATCTTTCTTTCTGGACTTACAGTAGGACTCCTCTCTGCCCCACTGAAGCAAGGCATGGGCATGTGGCTATACTTAACCAGAGAGATCTGAATTAAAAAAATCTCATCTATCAGTTCAGGAAGGGTCTTCTTTTTTTTTTTTTTTTTTTTTTGGCTCAACAGAATGCAAAGTTTTATTTGCCACCATTCTAGGTAGCAGTAAGCTTTCCAATTAGAATAGTGCTGGTTAAAAAACAAAAGCAAATACAAAAAAAGACAATAAATTGTAAAGCGTTTCCACAAAATCCACAAGTGTGGAGAAAAGACTGTAGAGTTCACCTCAAAACAGTCTGGAAGCAATTGCAGCATTCACCTATTCAAGTGCCACATCTCTGTCCTTTGGCATGAGAATTAAATCTGACCAATGCTCACACCCATTGCTGAAATAGGCTACTACTGAGGAAATCAGAAGGTGGATCTGCAGGAATATCTCACTCTGCAAAATGTCTTTGCCTCAGTTTCTAGAAAATCCCAAATATACCCAAGGCCACCTTGCCCTCTACTCCCCAAATTTGCTGCTGGCAACTTCCAAAGCCATCTGATACCATTTGGAATTGATTGTGCTGTTTCTCTATCTTTGTAAAAATAAGTTTCACTTATTCTGTGTTGAGAATTACAAGTGGGAAAGAGGCATCCTGTCTTCCACTAGCACAGTGTCCATCCCAAACTGGTCAGTGTACTGCTTCACGGTGGCCAGGACATTCAGCAGTCGCTGGTCCACAGCGTCCAGGTGAGGATCAGAGAGCACAGGGGAGATTGGGTCATGGGCCATGGCAGATTTTAAGGCAGACTTTAGCACTCCATTCTTTAGGTAGTTCAGTCTGTTCCAAGTAGAAACCCGAATGATGCAACACTGATAGAGAGGGGCAAGAATGCTTCTCTCATCCAACGCAGGGTTCCCAAAGCTTTTGGCATTATCGAGAAGGATGAGCATACTAGCACCTTCATCATCTTGAAAGCTCTCCTAGTGATGGCGGTCAGCATTGCCAATCAGGTAATCAAAGACAGAGGTGTCAATGATGTCCAAGAGGCGTGGGCCTGAGTCATATGGAGATGTTTTTTTCACAGCATCACAGTAGCTCTCATCATACTCCCACCTGGCCAGTTTGCCTTCTCGGTAAGTCCTGTCCCACAGGTGTCGGTGTTTCTGCAGAGGCCAAACATCTGGAAGCCAAAGTGTGACAGATCCTTCCATCGTGTCTCCGTCGGCACATGCTGGCTCTGTTTCTCGGCAGTAATAGCACTTCCCATAGAAACAAGTATTGTTTCCTATAGTTAGGAAGGTGCTCAGCAGCTGCTCCGTGGCAACAGGCTTGATCTCTGTCCGCAGATTAACAAATCTGCCAACCACCAAAGGAGCACAGCGGAAACCCAGAATCCTGTCCGAGTGAAGGCTGCTACCTCTGCATTGTGTCTGTCGTAACCTGCATATGGCTCCCCTTCCACCACATAGTCACGACTATACCGTTTAGGTTTAAAGACAACTTTCTGTCCTCCTTCAAGGATCAGTAAGGCTTTCAGCTGTGTCCCTTTATAACCCACATCAGCTTTAATGATTTTCTTGGTGGCCATGGCATGCATGATCGCCCCCAGTTCTGGGGTCTCTTCAGGGTACACTTCCCGGGGCACCACCCACTGAGCTGCAATCTCCCAGGGAGACTGCAAGGTGTGGTCCAGCTTGGGTGCCAGCTCTACTCGCAAGCCAGTCATCATTCGGTGAAAAGCCCTCTGATCCTCCTGGTTGGCAGCTGATGTATCTAAGTTATCAATCAGGAAAACTTTGGTGAAGATAAAGATGACAAGGAGTATTGCTAACAGCACAACTCGCTGCTTTAGCTTCATGTTGACTTCTTTTTCTTCCCCCAGCCCAATCTCTTGCTTGCTTATCAAGGAGAGCAGGTGGTGACAGTTAGCAAGGAGATTCCACGTTCCATTTCTTCACTAAACTTCCTCCACAACTCCTGTCCAGCCTCAGGCTAGCTCCATGGCCGCCCGCGCGGTGCGGTGCGGTGTGGCCCTGGCCGCCTGCCGCCTCCGGGGAGGGGCAGCCCCACGCCGCTCTCACGGCCCCCAGCCGCCTTCGCCACTGCAGTTCCCGCCCACCCCCGGCCCGGCCATTCCGCGGCTGCCTCTCCCTGAGCTCCAGGAAGGGTCTTCTAAAAGCCAGTGCAAGCTGTGTGCCTTCTTTCCCCTGCTACCAAAACTGTAGTACTTGGGGCCTTTAGAAAGAAAGCTAGGATGGAAATCCCAGCTAACATCCGACAGACACAGAACATAGTGAGAAATAAAGTTTCTTCTCATGAGCAAGATTTAAGGAATTAGGATTATAAGGCTATTTCTGCAACATCACCTGGCCCATTCTGACAAATTGCTCCAAGGTTTGGAGGAATTCTCAATAAATATATACTGAATGGGAACAATCTGATTGTATTTACATAAACATGTTGACTTACATCAGAACTATCCATTAGCAAACTGTGACTGGGAGAAGCACATCCGCACTCCTCCAGTGCTGTTAAGCATCTCAGGATCCCACTGAGATTAGGGAAAAGCAATGGTGGTGTTCAGGTGTATGGAAAGCCAAAAGCAACCCTAAGCATAAGAGCTTCTAGCCCACTACAAGGTTATGGTGGAGGATAAGGGTAATGAAAAGGCCGGACACTTCCTTCCAACATGTCTCCCTAACATCATGGACAATATCATGGGCCCACTGATAGAAGAACTTATTTCCCAACTTCTAAAACTAGGTTAAGCTATGTGACCAGGCTCTGGCCAATGAGACATAAACGGTGTTTTGTGGGAGTTTTTCAGAGATTTCCTTAAAGAAAATTATCCTTCTTTATTATGGTCTATATCTAGATGCCCTCCCAAAGTCTCATGCAGTCATGGGCAAGGCTTTAAAGAGGTGGCTGCATCTAGGCAGTGTGCTCCTGGAATCAAGGAGGCAATGCTGGGCCTGACTCACTGTGTGATGCTAGTATCACGGCTGCCGCACCCTGGGTGAGAATGTACCCTTCCTAAGGGTGGGAAGCCTGGATAAGAGATAAGGGACACAGGGCTCCTACTCTTCACTTGCTGCTTAGCTGCTGCACTATTCTGCTGCCTTCTGCCTACCATGAACTGTTTCTTCTGTTTGATGCCCCTCTGCCATGCCACACTGCCTTGGAGTCAGCTGACTATGAACTGAAATCTCTATGAACTGTGAGCTAAAGATTCCCTCCTCTTAACTTTGGATGTTGGGTATTTTGTCTTAGCAATGAGAAAGGTAACTAAGATACTCTTTTTCCTGCTTTATTCCTTCAGCACAGACAGGATAGCTGCTTCTTAAGCATCACTGCCTTAAAAATGAAGTCACAGAGTAAACAGGCTAAGTAGCACGCCAAAGACGCAATGGGTCTCTGTGGCCATAAAACCATAAATAAATACACTAATCCTGAACTGCCTGACACAGTTTCCATGGGAGTCAATGCCTACCTGCTGAGCCTGGTCACTAACACTTTCTACGAGGCATTTAAACCTGTTATAGACAAAGAGTGGTTTGGGAGAGAACAATAAAACTGCCCACAACACATCATCACACCTGCAGATATGCTCTGAACTCTGCATAATGAAAGACCCAAACTTTCGGCTGGGATAAGGGTTTGCTTCTATTTGGTTGTTAATAGAGTTTGAAATTAAACTTTCATTTAAAAGTTTCTGTAATAAAATTGTTATATTCTAAGAAGAAAGATAACTTCTAGTCTGTAAGTATAAATTAATCAAATATTTCCATTACCTGTCTTCAATGCAAACTTTATAAATGGTACCATGGCCTGTTCCTACAGGTGCTTTCCAAGTACAGTCCCATACTTGTAAATTATTAGTTGTGCACGTCAAATCACGAGGTGACCCTGGGGAAGAAAAGAAAACATGAACACACACAACACAGAATGTACTGGCTGTTACATGTTTTCAGCTGTAAGCACAAACACAAGGTCTGCAGAGGCTTGTGTGCTCCAGGAATAGACGACCCTGCTGTCATGGGAAAGCACTGTTTTCACATTTCTTTTTGTAGCTTTGTTTGCAAAAGCTAAAGGGTAAAGAATGAATGTGGGCCAGGTGCAAGACCACTCTAAGATCAGGCGGGTCAAAAGAATCATACTTCAAGGTGACTAGAAAATTAAGAAACCAAATGTGTAAATTCAGATGCAGTTGGAGTTCTAGCACATCACGAGTCTCCAAGAACCTCAGCTGAAAAGAAAAATAAATAATAAAAATAAAACCTCCATGAAAACTATGTGCCTCCCATGTCTACCAGGAAAGCTAGTAAGCACACGCAGCCGTTGCGGCTCTGCCAGCCTGCCACCCTCCACAGAACACCAAGACCAACCTCTGGACTACTGAGAAGCCTGTGAAAGGTCCACAGTAAGGAACTCATGTGAGTCTTTGAAAAACATGAGGAGAGGGCTGAAATGCCTGAAGGGTAACAGGCAACTGGGGCAGTTAAGAGTCCTGCTACTTCCTACTCCCATCTACATGATAACATACATTACTGAATATGTGAGCATTATAAAGTGAAAACAGCCACCTGCAAGGAAAATGAAAAGAAAGGATAATGAAGAGGGAAAAGAGAAAGAAAATAGGAGAGAAGGAGGAAAAGAAAGGATAAGGAAACAGTAGAGTAAAAAGGGCATTTGCAAACTATACAAATTCTATGAGATTTTTTTTATTATTTTTATACATAGTTGGCAAGATACTGTAGCAATAAATTATACATCTATTTATGCAGGAGAGCAAACAGAAGTATGTAAATGCTTACATTAAAAATCAGCAGTAATCCTAATAATAGTTATTTATTCAATGACCTTGGGGAAAAGAGATGTGTTTAACTATGGATATAATATAAAAATAAAACCAAAGGGCAACAGAATAATAATGGTCTTCATAGAAATATGCTAAGTAATATCTATTAGGTAGGTAACTTTCTTACTAAACTTAAAAATGATATATTTAAATATATAAAACATATAATAACAGCATTATAAACTATATTAAGATTTCAATTATGTTACATTGCAGTGCAGCCTGCAGGGATAGGGGAGCGGGAAGCCGGCACCAGGCACAGGAGGAGTTTCTGGGTGATAGGCCTGTGCTCCATCTTGGTGCTGGTGGTTACGACTGTGTACACTGTCAAAACTCACAAACTTGTACCCTAGAAGAATATTATTTTATGCAAATTATACCTTAATTTTTAATGATAAAAGAATATTTTGATCTATCTTTAAGGGCTTTTTCAAAAGAAACTAAACCAAGAAAGATTAGAAAAGAATGGATTCTAGCCACTAAAACTGTGGAGGATAAAGATTTTTTTTTCTATAGGCAAAATGGAAACAAAACTGAAATTCACCGGCGATCTTTAAGATTGATGTACTTACCCTTTTTCTGACCATTTGCTTCATTGAGTACATACAGAAGAACAAATGCTGCTAAGAGCCACCGGAAATCTGCAGGCAGCCTCATTCTCCTCCTGCCCACCCTCCAGGACGGCTGTCTCCAAGGTAAGAAAACATCCATCTTCCAGGCAACACAGTCAAGTCTAGGACAGAGAAGGGGATCCAAATGACGCTTGGACTCATGTGAAGACAAACCACACACCGCATACACAAACACTGAAAATGTGTTGGCAGATGTGGAAACACACTGCACATTCACGACTGAGGAGACAGCAACAACTGGGCACAGCTGTTGCTGTGAGATCCACCATCAGGTGAACTGGCATGTTAATATTATGACTGAACATATATTTGTCAACTCCCTGCTCAAACACAGAGTAACACAGAAAAACCTAATTCATACCATTGAAGTTTTGATGTTTTTAAAGTAATACATAAACTTTTTTTTAATTTAGAAATTTATTGTTTAATCCACAAGCTTCATATAGCTTTAGTTTAAAAAAAAAAAAAAAAAAAACCAGTGAAACCAAGACACTATTTCAAAGTCCAGGCCCTTCTTCCAGCTTCCAAATACTGAACATTATATATCCCAATGGGAAGAATAAGACAAAAATATGAGTGAAGGCATGACATTTCAGAAAACAAAGATTTCCTATAACTGAAGGATCCATCCATCCTTCCTGGGACAACTTAACTGCCTTTATAAGCAGGGGAAAAGGGGAAAGGTGGGGGCTGGTGACAAGGGAGGGAGGAGAGAAAAGAAACTCAGAACAGAGTAGAATCTAGTTCCAGTGTTCTGAATCAACATGTCACACACCCATATAAGCCTAGTGTCCTGGAAAACAAGTTTTCATTTTCTGTCTCAACCTGGAACTCAAATCCTGATTCCTTTCAGCAGCGATTCCAAAAGCAACAGGGAAGATTGTGGCATTGGGACATCCACTTATGCTTCTGTGGACTCCAACAGGGGTCTGATTCTGGACAAGCTTGCAAACCATACAAGGTTGAAAGCAGAACGTAAATGGGTGTGAAGACACAAATAAGAAGTAAACAAAAGAAAGAAAGAAAAAGAAAAGAGGGAAAGCCTCCCTGGGAACAGTAAGGGGCATTTAAAGCAGTAAGAATGCCAATAATACTCAAACTCCTTTTTTTTAAAGAGATTTTTTTTTTGGCTTAAAATATTTTGCTCTAAGTGAATTTATGTCATCTGTCAATGAAAAAATGTCACTAATATGTGGTAGAGACCTTTTGCAATATAAATCCAGGCCCCACATTTTTCATATGGTGAATTTCAACCTAGCAATCATTACAACAGATGCTATAGTCTAAAGCTCAAACACATCTTAGCAATTTTGAAATTGAATTAAGTACAAACCAAATAAAATCTACATCCTAACCAACATTCCCCCCCAGGACTGTGGGGACACTTGAGCCTTCCACATGGGTCACAGCCTTTTCCCGCAGGTGCTTCTCTAAGTCATCCAGCTCATCTTCAGCTTCCCTCTCAGTCTCCTTCTTGGCTGGCGGGCTGCCTCAGGTTCTTCCTGTGCTGATGCGGTGGTGGCAGCAGCAGGAGCCGCAGGGGTAGCAGGAGCCGCAGCCTTTTCCTTCCGGTGTTTTTGTGCTTCTTGTGTTTCTTATCCTTTTTCTTCCCACCTCCTTCCTGATTGGAATTCCGGGCTGGTGGTGGGCTTGGCGTGGGACCCAGCCTTCCTGGCCAGCACAGCAGTGGTCCAGTTTGTGGAGGGCGACTGAGGCTGGACAGGGGACTGGGGTGCTGGGGTCTTCTTAGCCTCTGGCTCGGGAGACCCAGAGACAGGCAGAGAGGATGGAGCCTGTCCTACCGACTACAGGTTCATTGAGGCAGCCTTTTTTGTCTTTTCAAGTTTTGGAGTTCTAGAGACTCTTGTAACGGGCCTGGTACTGGGAGATGGGGACTGCCTTCTTAGGGGTGAGGCCGATGTTCCTCTTTGAGCGTGTAGAAGACTTGAGGGCTGAGGAGCTGGAGGTGGTGGTGAGGGAGAATGCCGTTTGCCTGGTTGTGCTGACGAGGCCTCCCTGGAGCACAGCTGGGGAAGACCCTTTCCTAGGCTTTGACGAGACAGAAGGTGAGCATTTCCTGACTGCTGGGGAGCTTAGATCGGGGCTCTGGTGGTGGGATAGCGATGCCCTTCTCTTGGGCAGGGGCCAAGTCATCCTTCTCTTTGGAGGTGGAGGAGGAGAGCACCTCCTCTGAATGGCAGGACAGCATCTTCTGAGGAAGGCGAGGGAGTCCTGAGTGGTGGCGGTGGGGTGGGGGACCTGCACCACCCAGAGAAGCTGGTGAGGGCGAGGGCGTCTTCTGGAGGGTGGTGGAGGGGGAGCGGCTTCTCAGTCTACAGCGTGTAGTCACTGGTAGTTGCCCGCGCTTTCCCTTCCGCATCGGAGGGGAAGTCTCTTTCCGGCGCTTTCGTGGTGATGCAGATGCACTCGGGAGGTGAATGTCTCTGCCGCAGCCGCCCACCTCACCATTTTTCACATGGGATCGCTGGGGTCGCTCATCTTCAGAGGACAAGGAGAGCCAGAGTCAGATGAAGACTGCTGGTTCTGCGGTCTGACTGGCGTCGCTGCTGCACAGACTCAGCTGCAGCCATTTTACCACCTTTCTCTTCTTCAGATTCAGATTACTTGACCTTTCCAGGCTTTGGTGCTGGTGATGGCGATTCTCGTTTCTCAGTACCTTCATGTTTTGTCACTGAAGTTCTCCCTGGAGACACAGAAATGGCTTTTTCTCGTATGGTTTGACTGCTGTGGTGTTGGAGAAGGATGAGTTTTTGGTGGTGGAGTAGCTGGCAAGTGCCTTCACCTTGGAAGACTTGCTGAAGAGATAACCTATGAGTTTTTTGAGGGGGCTGGATGTCCTCTTGGGAGGTTTCTTTGGTGGTGACAGGGAATAAGAGAGGAGGCTGGCGAACTGCTCCCAGAAAGTGACGCTGATGACCGCCTCCTTCATCTTACGGGAGATGTACTCCGACGCCGCGGAAGAGGCGGCATTCGTCGTGGGGGGGTTCTTCGAGGAGATGGTCTCCCTGGGCTCGGCCGCCTTCTGGATGAATATGATCTTGATTGGGACGAGTATGACATGGAGAGAAAGAATGGGTTTGTGACCTTGACTTGGAACGTGACTGAGATCTTGGCCGGGTCTTTTCTTTTTCTTTTTTTGTAATTTTTTTCTGGAGTAGGTTCTTTAGGTTCTGGCCTGGGTTCAGGCTTGAGAACTTTCAAGATGTCACTATTAGATGTGGCCTCTTGTACTGAAGGTTCTTCTACTTTCACTGAAGGTTCAGGGAGCTCTGGAGTTTTTTCCTTCTTTTCTGGAGCAGGAAAAGGACTCAGACTCTTGGTTTTTTATTTTTGTTTTTTTCTTCTTTTTGGGGGAACCAGGGATTGAACTCAGGCCCTTGCGCTTGCCAGGGAAGCGCTTATTCCACTGAGCCATCTCCCCGGCCCTGACTCTTGGTTTTATGTTGTGGAGATCAAGAATGACTGCGCTTTCTCTCTCTCCCGACAGGGAGAAGATCATCTTCTAGGGGAAGGAGACATGGATGTGCATCTTCTTTGACACTTCTCCCTTTTTTCTCTGCTGCTTTTTCTTTCTTACCTCTCTTATCTTTGTCTTCATCCTGCTTTTTCATTGATGCCAATTTTTCTTGTTTAATTTGTCTCTTTTATTTCTTCTTTCTTTAGTTCTAGGAAAGCAGAAAGTATTCCAGCGATGTTTTCTTGTGCAATTAACAGCAGGGGCCAAAAATTCCCCCATAAATTCTCTAGCATTTTTCCCATTCAAAAACCCAGTCAGGTCGATTTGGATCATTTTGGAATCTGGATTCTTCACTTCCAGTTGGTTGAATATAAACTCAATCACAACATCATCTTCAAATCCAAGGATTTCTGTTACTCATTTTGTTATCCAAGGCTTTAAAACCTCCAAATTTACTTCGCTCAGGTCCACCTTTTTTTCTAGGCAATCTGCAAATTTCAGCTGCTTCAGTAGTTTCTTCTGTTTGTTGCTGAACCATTTACCCTGTTCTGAACTTGTTCCTCAAAAGCATCCCACATCCATCTTGCTGCCTCACTTGGAGATCGCTGCCTCTCCCCGCGAACTGATGTTTTTAATCTTACTTGTATTTCACATATGTCATTTATTGGGTGACTCCAGTACACTCTACAGCACTTACCTCCCTGTGCCTCAGCTTCCTCACGTGCAAAGTGAGGATGGCAACTGTGTTCTCTTTCTAAGTTTATTATGAGGATCAAGCGACTGCACAGGTTAAGTACCTGGAACAGTGCCCAGGACATGGTCAGAGCTACACGCTACCGTGTGTACTGTGTGCGGAAAGGAAGCAAAGCAGACTGCTAGATTTGTGGTTACACAGGGATGGGCAGGTGGATGCGCCACTTAAATCCTCCCTGGATGCAGGAAGAAGAGAGCAGTGAGATATGAGGAAAGTCACAGATCCTAGCACAGACATCAACCTTGGTGTGCTCCCACTCCCCATTCTCTACAGATTTTAAAGAAAAAAAAAAAAAAAAACTGCCTAAGGAAAACCAGCACTGCTAACACAGAGTGGGAACTTTCCCTATGGGATATCTGGGGCTTTCCCAGAGGAAAGCCTTCCTGGAGTGAAATCTGACAGACTCTGACTCCTTCTACTGCCCTAACTTCTTATCTAACTTCATACTACTTTATTTTATACTGACAGAGAAAACCAAGGATCACAAAACACACAGGCAAAGCCTAAAAGGTTGAAGAGAAACTCAGGAGAAAAAGATTACCAGAAAGAAAATAAAAATAATTCCTGGAAGAAACAGGGATAATGTAGCAAATAAAAAAACTTCAAGGAAAAAAGAAAACAAAAAGGCAAAAAACACTAATTGTATCCTCAGACCAAATATAGCCCAGGCCAAAAACAAGAGTATAGAATGAAGGAATAAAAATAGCTCTTAGAAATTAACTATATTGACAAATATTAAATTTTAAAATATATAAAATAATGAACCCTGAAGAAGAAACAGAAGTATCAAATGTGAGAAGACAAATGAAAAATGGAATTAAAAAAGGAAGTGAGATCCACTGTAACATTAATTGGAGCCTCAGGAAAGA